GATAGTTTTATTTAAAATTATTCTACTTGATTTAAAATAACTTTAATTTGACATTCATAATTTACATTATATTATATCTACTAAAAATAAATAAGTAATATCAATAAAAAATATCATAGAAAATACAATTTACATACAAACAACATTATTGTACAATGTACATATACATATTATGAGTTAGAGCAAGAAACCGACGACAACAAAAACTGCTCAATAATAAAACGCGTAAAATCAGTACATTTCCAGTATTCCACCTGCTATTTCTCGGTATTACGATCGTGACACGACATCGATTCAGAACGTTCAGACACGCCGCCAACAGTAACCATAGTTAATTTGAATGGGAAACTAAAAATCTGTGTTTTAATGACTTGTTTTTTATATATTTTAGCATTGAAATATTTATAAGAATCGTCATTTTTATTCAAACTTTTGGTAGCCATTTTATTTTATAAATAAGTGTTAACTAAATTGTATTATAGAGAATATTTATTTGTTTCTCGTACCTTAGGAAGAAAAAACACCCTAGAGGTGTTTATAAGTTAAAGTGGAACAAAGCCATAAATAACAAATATGTAAATAAAGAAATAAAGCAATAAATAATGAAATAAATCAAACAAGGCACCTAATTAAAAATAGATCATCACCCATACAAGTGCATATAAATGAGTTAGTTTTATATTTCTAGCCTAGCTTGTGCTTTTATGGCTAACAAGAAATCGATTATTAATAAATAACTTTAGTATAATTAAAATAATAATAACAATAGCGTCTCTAATAAATATTCTGCTTATTACAGGCTAATGTTAGGTAAATTGAAATAATTACTTGCATCCTTTGACAACACGTTTGACTCAGTTTGTAGTGACCCTACTTGCTGTGCCAGCGGTCGCCGGTTCGAGTCCCGCTGAGGGCATTTATTTGTGTCATGAGCACGAATGTTTGTACTTCAGTCATAGTGTTTATATTTATAATATATATATGTATTTAAAGTTGTATATGTGTAGTATATCAACTATCTGGGATCTATTATACAAGCCTCGTAGCTTGCCATGGATCTAGATGGTGCTGTGTGTTAATTTCCCAATATATTTATTTATTTATCCTATATTCATACACTGTATGACACTGGAATTGGATGTCAATGGAATCTTCTTTTTAACCGACTTCCAAAAAGGAGGAAGTTCTCAATTCGTCAGAATCTTTTTTTTTCTTTTTTTATGTATGTTCACCGATTACTCGAAGACGCCTGAACCGATTTGGAAATTTTATTTAAGCCCATGGCCTTTACCAAGATGTCATTCAACAATGGTTGAAAATAGACTGTATTAACTAAAAGGACATAGAATAAGAATAATAAGAAATTCAATCAATCGAATAAAATGTAGACATTAAATCATAATTTGTCATTCCCATAATATTTTTTTTTCGATTTCTATTCTTCAACGATTGTAGCCATATCTTGTCTAAACCGTGTGATTCATATTTTTCTCTTTCAGTGAATTGATTTTAAATTATTTCGACTTGTTTTAATTTAAAATTTTCACACAAATATTACTGATATTATTTAAACTTTAAATATTTAAAATTTATTATTCATAAAGAGACTCATTATGCAATGTTCTACACAACCTTTAACAAAACAATGCAACACCGAAATAATTTTAAACAATAATTAAATTAACATTCAACATAATAATTACAATATTTATTTAAACATGTAAAATATTAGATAGGTACCAAATCTGACGTGTACCTCGTATTAAGGACGTACAAATATACTTACATACTGCTTGATCTATATGGTTATATTTACACAATCACTTCTTACTTTACCCTATCCGTAACTTTTATCCACTATTCTTTTCTTGAGATTATCTTTCAGGGTTTCTTTTATTTGAATCATATTTTCACTAGAATCCTTAAACTAAAAGAATAAAAGTTAATTCCGCTGTGTCTCTTTCGCCAGTTCTTCTCAGGTCTAAGGCTTCTTCTTTCCGAACTGGTAGTAGACTCATGGTAAAAAAATGTAATAAATTAATACTGAATAAAAAATAGACAGTGGTATCGCAGTGGCAACGCGCTCGCATGGGAAACCGAGTGAAACGGGTTCAAATCCCGGGTCTCGCACCTCTGATATTTTCATGTGCGAATCATTTTCAACATCATTAGCACTAGTCTTACGGTGAAGGAAAATATCTTGAAGAAACCTGCATGTGTGGGAGAACACAAGTTTTCGAAAGACATGTGAAGTCCGCCAACCCGCACTTTTCCAGCATGGTGGACTATAGCCTGACCCCCCTCGTATTGAAGGAAGGCCCGTGCCCAGCAGTGGGACATTAAAAAGGACTGAATACACAATACAAAAAAATAGACGGAGACGTATAGAAGAAAGTGATTAAAGAGAATAATATTTTTCTGATATTGAAACCTTTTTTGTCTATAACGTCGTATATATCGTATACTCAATAATATATAACAAATAAATAAAAACATAATTATATACAATAATGTAGGGATTCACTATCCAACAGAGAAACGGCTTGAATTTAGTGAGCTTGCATTAATATATTGTCATGAAAGGCTTGTCTGGTATATTTTTGGACAATTTAAAATACATTAAACGGATGTCGGTCGAGCAAATTATGGGACACGACATCTATACAAAAATAGCGCGTTTTAACAGTTGTTACATAAGACTTCACTTTCTAAATATCATATCTTAAGCTTATCGGACTTTAATGTTAAACAATGGATGTTAATTGACTTTATTGACTGATCAAAATATTTTTTTTTATTATTATTTTCTATCTAGACTCACTTTCGATTTGCACTCGGTGTAATATATATATATATATATATATATATATATATATATATATATATATATATATTAATTGATTAATTTCTACAATTCTGTTTCTAATCATAATATTAAATCATCAAGAATGATTCTATAATTTATATTAGTTTTAAAGCTATTTCTAAAGTCCTGTACCTTTTTTAAATAACATATTTTCTAATAACTTCATCATTTACCTACCTAAATATTATTTCTATCAATAAATTACAAACGGGCGTTGTTTGTATGAAATCGATGTTATACCGACCAATTGCAACACTGCATTTAAAATAGCTTATCCTCATAAGGAAAAAGTGAATAAAATCTCACAACAAAGAACTAGGTATATGGTATTTTGTAGATACGTGTGACGTTTGATAATTCTTAACAAGTTTTTTTTATTGATCTCCGATTTATACATATTAATATTCATTAACTAGATATATGTTTTTGTTTCATATTGTTATTAAAAAAGCTTTTTGAAGCCACTTAGAATGCTACAATTTACAAAATGTCTAAGAAGATGCAACGGTAAATTGTATTAATTTTCAAAAAAATAATATATTTATTTTATGGAGGTTTGGAAAAATTTCTTGTGTTTTAGTCATAGCTCATATCTCGGGTAGCAAAATAGGTAGCTATATTAATTTACGTGCTCACCGACAGTTGTTAGTAACCATAAACGCTATTATGGTATAGTGTAATGACGTCGTACTCACATGCTAATTGCGATCCATGTAAGTGGCTGTAGAACTCCGACTTCTTGTATTTATATATGAAAGCTATTTATTTGATATAAACCGTCAAATCTAACACATATATACATACGTATGTACCTCATGAAGACTAGAAATAAATAAATATGTTGGGACACACAGCACCATCTAGTTCCATGGTAAACTACGAGGCCTGTGTTATGGATACCAGATAGTTGATACACTACACATATATAACTTTTAAATACATACATATTATAAATATAAATATAAACACCCATGACTGGAGTAAAAACATTCGTGCTCATCACACAAATGAATGCACCCAGCGGGACTCGAACCCGTGACCGCTGGCACAGCAAGTAGGGTCACTACAAACTGAGCCAAACGTGTCGTGAAGAAGTAGAGAAATGCATGCTTTCATATCTCTATAATAATATAAATTACTTCGTACGAACGAACTTTCGCCCTCCAGAGTCAAAGTCAATATCAGTGCAGTCTGACGTACATATATAAAACTAAACCCTAAAGCCACTACTGAATACAGTCAATATCCATACTAATATTATTAATTTGAGATCAGTTATGTCTATCTGTATGATATCTTTCTCGCTTAAACTGCTGAACAAATTTTGATGAAATTTATCAAGGATTATACAATACATCATTATCATGAAGCTAACTTAGTACGGCTAACTTTTACCCACGCCCAGCTTACCTTGTGAGTGAAACCACAAATAAAACCTAGTCACCAATGATTTTAAATCTTTATTATTTAGTAATGAATTCGAAATTATACATTTAAATATATATGCAAATGTTTTTGCAATAAGCTGCTAAACAAAATAAATATACGTTATTGGTAAATGCTCGGATAGATTTCTTGTATCGATTGTATATTTAACTGGACGGCGGAACGGGCATAGATTATTTTGGAATTTACATTAAAACAATAGAGCCCGCTGTAACATCTACCTAGCGACATGAATTATGTAAAAGACTACACTCTAAACTTGACTGCGATTTCACAAACAATCCTTCATTTGTACCGAATAAGTATTTCTTAAAAATTTCTTCATTTTTTATATATTTACTCATTATACACACTGAACAACGTCTGGCTATTGATAAAATTATATTTTTACTATAAGAATAATAGGTACCTATATTCATAATTAGTAGAGTGTAATACTTTCTTAGATTTACGCGAATATTTGACTTTTTAAGTAAAACTATCTTTTCGGATTTTATCGCGGATTTATTTTGATTTTTGGTTCCTGATGTTTCGAATGCTTTACAGCAATCATGGTCATGGGAGAGTCTCTCCCAAGCGGTAATGCTGTAATCCGCAAAAAAATCTGAAAAAATAGTTTTATTTAGTAGAGTGTAATATAATTTTTGTCATATGTATTTTATTTTAACCGTTTTCTCTTTTGTTTCAGCTGTACAAAGAGGTCGAGTGCCACCGACGCAGCCCGCTGGTCTCGCCCTTCCCGGGCAGTTCGCTCTGGCGAATGGAGACCCAGCTACCGGCCTCAATAGCCATCCCTACCTCTCCTCCTACATCTCCCTCTTACTCAGGGCAGAACCTTATCCCACCTCAAGATACGGCCAGTGCGTTCAACCCACTAATGTAATGGGTATAGACAATATATGCGAACTGGCTGCGAGATTACTCTTCTCGGCCGTAGAATGGGCGAGAAATATACCTTTTTTCCCTGAACTCCAAGTGACGGACCAAGTCGCGCTTTTACGGCTCGTTTGGTCTGAATTGTTTGTCCTAAATGCGTCTCAATGCTCAATGCCCCTCCATGTAGCACCGTTGCTCGCTGCCGCCGGTCTGCACGCCTCCCCCATGGCAGCCGACCGAGTGGTGGCGTTCATGGACCACATAAGGATCTTCCAGGAGCAAGTGGAGAAGTTAAAAGCACTCCACGTGGACTCCGCTGAATATTCCTGTCTGAAGGCCATCGTTCTCTTCACGACAGGTAAAATTTTGGACAGTTTATTTGGGGAAGCGAGGTTGTTGTTGTACAGAGTTGCGGGTGCTGGTGCAGCTGTCACAAATTATGGGGAACTTGTGGTATTAGTTCGAACTCATTTAGATGCGTATGCTGAAGCGTCCAGAGTACCACAACCACCGGCACCCCCACCTCCTTCAGCAGCTTCCTCAGGATATTACTCTACTTTGGACACATCGCTTGGTGTCAACTCCTCTTTGTCCTATGGCAGTTTCTTATCACCTTCCCGATTGCTGCCTAACTATACTAGTAGCCCACGTGTGCCAGACGCTAGTACGTCATCTTTTAAATTATACGAAGGTGGAGGTGGAAAAATATATAAAGATGACCAGGGGAGTTGACGCCAAACGATACGTACATTGGGATAAAATTGGGTACGGGTGTTGGCGGAAACTTTCACTAGACGTTTGATCGATATGCATTGCCTTGCAATGTCTGTTGATATGTTAGGACGTTTATATTGTATGATGGGATAATAACTCACGCTCTCCAGATCCGGTGGAGGGGAGTCTGCGACTTATTGTTCTCGGTCGAATATGTGATATATTTAAAATTGTCGATATTTAAATTATGGATAGTAATTTGTTAGACGAATCGCATTGCGTGCCGTTTTTAGTTAAGAACTTATTTATTCAATGTAAATAGTTTAACTTATTTATTTATTACACGCGCGATATTTTTTTCTTAGACATTTGTTTCATTTAAGATTTTTTCCAAAATTAATTCCCTTTTTTCTTAGATTACAAACTTATAACGTTAGTATTAAAATAATCTTAGCTTAATATATATTTGTAATAAAACATAAAACGCAACATGACAATAAATTGACATCATTATGTTTAATTTGTGTAATTTAGTTGGTTTTCACTTTTACGTGATTAGTCGCATTTGTCGCCAACTACAAGTAAGGAACTTTCCTTTTCTTGAATCCCACGTAGCAAAATATACGCAAATAATTATTCAGTAAAACATGGAATGGCTATTTAAAAGTTTTCTAAATTTTTTATGATAGTTAAAAAGTCGTAGAATTCTGTGTTTGGACGTGGGTTATTTGGCTTTTTGTGTGTTACACTCTATTTTAGCTAATTGTGCATTTTAATATGTCGATGTATGGGTTAAATTCAAAGGTCTCATTTTAATTACTGGGATTCCGGGTTTTATTAAAATTTGAAAAAAAAAAACACCCTTGACAGCGAAATACTGTCTTAATTTGATTTTAATCAGTTTTGAAATCGGTATACCTTTTTTAGTTAAAAAATAATAAATAACATTAGAGAATTAAATTAACCTAAATAAATGCTTAAAGGATATTTTATCTCTACATTTGCGACGAGGTCAAAAACGGCACACGTTGTATTATAGAAGATGTAGCGTTTTTTAAAAGATGTAATGCCATTTAGAAATCAATTTCAAATATATTACTTGTTAACAAAGTAAAGTACTTTATATTTAAACCTAACATTTTTGAAGGTTTTTCAATAATTACTTGTACATAAACGTTTAATTACACAAATGATATTCAAAAATCCTTAAAAAGGCCTTATCTACCATCAGGCGGGCCGCATGCCTGATTGCCACCGACGTGGTATTATCTATTATATTTGTGTGATTATTATTATAATAGACGTTAGATATCATCCTTAGCAACAGATCTCATATAAACTCGTGAGTCTCGATAATCGCAGATGCGGAACTTCCGACCACGTCACACTTTCACATGTCCACTAAATGACCACATTAAATATGAATCTATCAATAATTCTAATATTTATCATTATTATATATTTAAAGCTAATTAATTAAATATTATTTCTATATGTTTTTGATAAAATAAAAGTGTAAAATACGGTCATTTTTTATATACTATATTGGTATATGTATTTGTATGTGTTAAGACATTTGACATGTCATGTTTTATATGATAGAGTGAGTATTAGTATAAAGTTATTACTAAAGTCCAAAATATAATAGATATTTTCATTATTCATAATTAAAAAAGAACTAAAAAAGTGATAATAAAAATTATAATCAATAATAGAAATGGTAATTAATAAATAATATATTTTATTAATAATATTAAGTTCATAGTATGTGTAGTTATAACAGTATCTAGGTATTAACTGTTGAAAGGTAAAGTTATGACGGAGCTGATTGAGGGATGCTCACTCCCTATCAATTGAAACAAACTGGCTCATCGAGGCGTTTATGTAGAGACCAGTCAATGGGCATTTGATACGTAACCGCCATGTAGAGTTACTCATTCCCATGTAGAGTGGGTATTTTGCGTGATTTTTAATTATATGGCAAAATAACAAATTGGTATCATTAGTTAATATTTTTAATAAATAACTATATTTTTTAATTTAATCAATAAATCTATAATAATAAAAAATAAACTCTTAAAAAACTCAATTTCTTCGCGTAATAAGAAGCGAAAGCTTAACAAGCTCTATTTATAAACATTTTACCTAAATAAAGTAAAAATAAAACACACAATATACAAACTCTTTTAATTTTACATGGAACAAGAGTTAAATATTTAAGCTTATCATGAAGAGATTTAAATTTTTAACGCGGCAATTTTCCTAATTAGATAATAAAATCTCTTTGTTTTATAGTAACTTAAGTTGAGTATTCGGAATTTGTAATTTACAGTAGTGGTGGGGCCTGGCTCCAATAAAATTTACTTTTATGGGTGTAATTAACGTCGAAAGGTAGTTTTTACGGGAAAAAATTGTATTTTAAAGCGTGTTAAGCCACCGAGCGTCACTAGAAGCGTACAATAAACGAAGTGGCTTGTATATCAGAGAAGAACGAAACCAGCATAGCATGAACTCTATTAAAGAACAACTTTTGTACTTTCGCGTAGGATATAAATGATAATTATGGTTTTCCAGAAAACTGTATGAAGTTTATTAAATAAGTATACATAAGTAATAAATTACAAAATAACTGTCAAGATAACTTAATTTTATTATATATAACAATTTTGTATTTTCATAACGTTAACTATAGAATTGTTGATATCAATCTGATAAATATTATAAATGCGAACGTTTGGATGGATGTTTGTTACTCAATTACGCCAAAATGGCTGAACGGATCTAGATAAAATTTGGCACAGACATAGATTATAGTCTGGAGTAGCACATAGGTTACATAGGTTCCCGTGGGTTACTTTTTTTTTGTTTTTCACTAGGATGGGACGAACCCAACCGAAGCGAAGATGAGTAGCTAGTATTATATGAAATTGAATATTATAAATCCAATTAATCTCTAATATATAAGAAATTAGAAATTATACATAATGCGATTGTTTAATTTTAAAGACGAGCAAATATACAATTCAAAAATATATGTACCTATAGTTTGTAATAAGAAATTTTCATTTTTATCTCTAGCATCTAGGGGTAAAGCAAAACTGCCCGGGGATGACATGAATATGTAACAGCAATAAATGTAGTTTAATCCACGCCTAACTTTCTCCAACTCGTATAACAGTGCATAGTAATTTTGTAGTAAATTGATTGTTAATAGTTATATGTTAGTACGCTATAAATTATATGTCGCACTTTATTCCTTTAGTAGCTTAAGCCCTCGAATTCATTTGTTTGTTAGAAATAATGTTTGAATCACAAACATACGTACATAGTTAATTTTGCCCTATTACATTTTCTAGAGATAGTCTACTATCTCTATGTACAGCTTTATAAGTTTCATATATATATATATATATATATATATATATATATATATATATATATGAAACAATATATATATATATATATATATATATATTCATTATTTTATCAGCAAAATTCTTTTGCAATAACGTTACGAATAGTTTTATTCAATTAATTTATGATACGACGTGGTAATAACCGATAAATGAACTTGTGTGAAAATTGTAGATATACGGAGTGACTCTACGTGTGGTCTAGAGACAAATGCAACCACTTAATATCGACTTCATGATAATTTTTCAATTAACGTACCAGTTATAATGTCACTGCATGTTAAATATATTAAAACCTATCTTTATAATCCCTAACTAATTTGCTTAAAACTACGCTATGTGGGTATCTTTTTATCTTAATTTGAATTAAATTACGTACCTATTTTAAAATTTTTGTAAGTAAGATATTTTCGTTACTTATCAATAAATAAGAGATATATTATGTACTAGCGACTAGTCCCTAGGTATGTTTAAATTTTTTTGAGCGGAACCCTAATTATTTTTCTAAAATAAAAGTAGCCTATGTTACTCCCTATAACATGAATTATCTTCGAGTGAAAGTCCCGTCAAAATCAGTCCAGCCGTTTCTGAGATTATGCGGAACAAACAGACAGACATACAGACAGAAAAAATTTAAAAAATATATGTTTTTCTTATAAGTGTTATAAGTGTAAATGTTATAAGTGTTTTTCGTATATGATTTCATATGCATTTAGTGAAACGCTGTTATTTTGACATTACAAAAAGACACTTCAATTTTATTTATCTGTATAGATGTACTAACGTCTCACCCTGGTTCCGTTTGGGTTCGTCCTAAGTATAAAACAAAAAGAACTTTACACCACGGTAACAGTACATTTTTCCGGGATACAAAGCCTATATGCTATTCCAGACTATAACCTATCATTGTGCCAAATTTCATCCAGATCTGCTCTGCCATTCTAGCGTGATTAACAAACATCCATCCATCCAAACTTTCGCATTTATATATTAGTAAGTTTTTTTTTAATATATTTAGTTTAAAAGCTAATTTTCCAATAATTGCTATATTTAAGCATAAAAATATATAATTACTAAAATATTTTCATGATTTAAAAATATGAAATGCGCATGAATTGTACTAAAGTGAACATAATATACACGTGTGGGCCAATCGAATAATGAAGTGTAAACTATCAAGTGTCGAGGCGTGACTCGACGTAATATTGGAATACTGATGTCCATTGAGACGTCCGACATACGAGTATGACGCAAGGCGTACGTTTGTAGTCTTTCAAATCACTATATTTTACGAAACAAAATATATTACTCTGTCTGTGAGTTTATGGATTATTTTTTATCTAACGCGCATCTTCTATGTATCGAATAAATACTGTTATCATGGTGGAATTATAGAGTCATATAGTCAACTAGCATTGCCCACGGCTCCGCCCGCGTTCAGATGGCCTAAAACCAAATTCTTAGGCTTTACATATGAGTATACTCTTACATTGCAGTTTTTGTATATTTTCTCAGAAATGAGATATTTTCCCGCGGTAAAAATATTTATTTCATCAAAATCCCTCCAGTGGTTTTTCTGTGATGCGGTAACAGACAGACAGA